TGAAGTTGCAGATTAATGCTCAAAATTGCTTGCACTGCAAGGTAAGATTCACATAATCATTTGCACACTTGTTACCTTGTATAGATTCATCTACTTTGAGCATGCATGTAGTTTGTATCATAATCTTCCAAACTGTGTAGAGAAGATTGTTACTGCTTTTGTAAATCCATAACCTTACTTTTTTTTTCGCTTTTTGGCATTAAAATTACGACAATTTTTTCATAATTTGCAAGTCCAGGCAAAGTCTAGATGGTGATGATGGTAATTTCTTTGTGCCTGTGTGTAATCCACTTTTGTAAATCCATAACCTTACGTTTTTTTTTTCGCTTTTTGGCATTAAAATTACGACAATTTTTTCATTAATTTGTAAGTCCAGGCAAAGTCTAGATGGTGATGATGGTAATTTCTTTCAATCGTTTCGGCATTCAATTTTGCATGCATTGTTTTTGTGATGGTCGCTTAAGTGTGCATCGCCTCTTATAGTCCTCCAACTCCTATGAACATTGAACTTTGTCGTGACAAAAATCTTGCGCGTTTATATCTATTTTGGGATGCAAGTGGTGTTCAAGCTTTCTTTGCTTTTATATCTAGTCCGGGTTTTCCTCAAGAACATCTCTGCGCTCTCTCGTGCTGTCTTCCAATAAAATCATGGTGCCTGCTGTGTATATTTTGCAGGCGTGCGATATCAAAGACCTGAAACAGAACATTGAATGGACTGTCCCAGAAGGAGGCGGCGGTCCCGGCTACTCAGTGATGTAGTTTCGCATATAATCCATCGTAAATATGCTATGTCAACTTGACCTTGATTGATACTTGTAGAGTAACTTTTATGTCATAGTTACAGGACTTGTGCCGCCTTTTTCTCTTTCTATACAAACTCATACAACCAATTATATTGGAAGCAAATAAATTTAAAAACATTAGTCGACATGTATTCTCGTCTAACCTTTTACTGCTTTTACGTAATAACTAAGCAGTTTACATTTGGGTTTTCGTCAATCATAATCGAGCAATGAGCGGGTAGCTTATTTCCGGACGAGCCAAATTCTGTTATTGTCTCAAATTGTTACAATGAGTGTATCCCAAGCAGAAGTCCGTAAGTTCATAGCGATATTATTAAGTTACCACGTAGGATTGGCCTAATGCCCTAAAAAAAATCATTTTTTTATCTCATAAAAAATCACAAACTTTTATATGAGTCTTAAATCTATCCTCATTAACCCTCCGATTAAATGTGCCTTTTGTGATTCTACGTGGCATTTCAATGTCATTGCTCTAGTTTTCTTCCAAACCCAAGAAGACGTCTTTTGGAAGTGAATTTCCACATAAGCTCAAACGACGTCCTCTTGGATCTGAAACTTGGGTAAAGACTAGAGCAATTAGGGTTGGTTTTCTTCAATTGCACTTACTCTTAAGAAAGGAGAAAAGTGTCAAAAAAGTCCTAAACCTTTTGTATTTGTGTCAATTTAGTCCTAAATTTTTTTTTGTACTAATTCAGTCCTAAACCTTTTGCATTTGTGTCAATTCAGTCCTAAACTTGTGCATTAATGCCAATTCAGTCCTTCTGGCTAATAACTATTCACATGTCGAAGGACTGATTTGACACAAATATAAAAGGTTTAGGACTGAATTGGCACCAAAAAAAGGTTTATGACTGAATTGGCACAAATGCAAAAAGTTTATGACTGAATTGGCACCAAAAAAAGGTTTATGCCTTTTTTTAACACTTTTCCCCTTAAGAAAGTCTTCCTTCCATCTCATTCGGGAATCTTCGATTTTGCACTTGGTATGCAATCTCTCGTGCTTGTGATTGTTCTATCTCTAGTGGTCGAAGAGCTTGAGCTCGGGACACTAGGCTCGAGACACTCAAATAACTCGTGCGTGGGAGTTTTCCATATCTCGGATGTTAATGAGAAATTTTGGAGGGACAATTAACGGAATCAGATTTGTGATTCAAGTAAAAGTTGATGGTTATTTATGAGACTTAAAAAAATAGGTTAAAATTGGACATGACCTAAAGTTGAGGGTTTTCATGAAACAAAAAAAGGTTCAAGGTAGAATTGAGACTTGATATAAAGTTTGGGGTTTTTTATGGGACAAAAAAAAATTAGGTTAGAATTGGAACCGAACTTAAAGTTTGGGGGTTTTAAGGTATTAGGCCTGTAGGATTATTAGTTGTAATTGTTGTTGGTAAAAGAGAAAATCTCTATTATTGAGATCAAAAGAAGTATTTATAGACGAGGCTTACATATATAAACCCAACTTTCTGAAACTATAGAATAATAAGTAATAAACCTGACAGTAATATATTTACATTGACAAGCAGCTCTCTCTAATAGTTCCTAGCAAAGCGAAAAAAAGGCCTTTCCAACATAGAGGTAGCAATTTCTCTTATCAGTGATCTGTCATTTTACCACTTTGTTAAGTAACTTGTCGAGATAATAGCGATTTTTCAAAATTACCTAAAGTTAATAACTTTTAGTGTAATATTTGTACCTTTTTTGACCAGGTTAAAAGGTTAGTGACGGAACCCACTTTTAAAAAATAAAAATAAAAATAAGCAAAAAGTTGGACTCTTTAGCTTATATAAGAGCCGAGAGCTCGGGAAAAACATAAGAAAATGAAAGGAGAGAGAGAGAGAGGAAAGGAAAGGAAGAAAGAAAAGGGAGTTCTCACCACAGGGACCTCACCAAACTGATTCAACTTCGATTTGCAATGCACGGTAAATGCTCACACCCTTTGTTCATCTACTAGTAATATTTGGGGTTAAGGCACAAGTTTGAGGCTTTGTGAATTTTGAACTACAAGGTTCGATTAAGGAGTCGTTTTGTTAGCGTTTAAGCTTATTATAACCATTCATAGTTATTGTAGTATTTTAGTTGATTTTGGCGTCGATTCTTGTTTAATTGTTAGGATTACAAGATCGTCAACTCGTTTAGTTGCGTGTTGTCAGTTTTGGGTATTCTCAGGTAAGTGTTGCTATCTCTACCTTTGTAAAACTCATGCCTTCAAGTAATAATGATTTTGTATATATTGAACTTAAAAGTGCATTTTTGTTGCATAAAACGGGATCGAGTATTCACTACCTTTCGGTTATTTGAGAATGGTTTAGAAAACATGTTATGAAATGTGTTGTGACAGTTTACGTATATGTATTAATTTGTGAACGTGATTTATGAAATGGATTATGAAATAGTTATGAAAACATATTATGATTTATGAAATGGTTTATGGATTTGGAATTGTAGATTATTGGAAAATGATTGTTTAATGCTCGATTTGGTTGTGAACCTAGGTAGGGGTTTCGAGGTATGTATACCAGTTTAGAATATATTTATGGGCCGAGGCACTAGTTTTGTAGGGGAGACCTTGCCAAGGAGGGAATCTTGATCACCTTGTCACAATGTGTTGTGTCGTGACCATGGTAGTATATTGAGCAAACTATTAGTCAATGGAATGGACCATTAACATGGTTTTCATAGAGATTTATCGATGGACTTGACCGTTGATATTTGAATTGTAATGATGGATTTAAATGAGTATTTCAGACTTGTATAAAACTTTATTGAAATGAAACAACTCATATGTGATTTGATATATATTTCATACCGTGATTTTGGGTTTTGAAGTTTTGGTATTACTTTGAATACATGCATAGTGATTGCTCATCTTTCATGTTTTTCCAAGTTTCTCGGCTAGCTGCTGTTAATACGTGAACGCTATCACGGGGATTTTTGGGAGTTAGATTTTGGGTATAGTTTTTGGGCGTTGGCTGAGTTCTAGTTATATATATTCTTTTCTTGTGGATTATAGAAACTCTGATATTGTAACCAATATGCTAGTTTATCTGAAATATATGTGGTTTGAGATATATATATATATAACAGGTCGTTGATTATATTTGAGGTTGCGTCGTTCTTGTGAAAAGACGGCTGTGTCATCTCTTTTTCTAGTTGTTTTTGGGATGTACATTTAGACTTAGTATATTTCATATAGGAAGTTCCAATTTACTATCGGAAGTAGCTTCGTATGCTCAAGATACTCGAATGAATATCCGATGAGGAATTACTCTGCTTGGAAATGGAGTAGCAAAGTTCCCAGAGTGCCGGTACTCGGGTATAAAAGTCCTTGCCGACGGGAGATCTTTGATAAAACCTTCCCCCTTCTCTAAATTGTAACCATCAAAGTAAATAGTTATACTTCTGTAGAACAACAATAAGTTTTCTCAAAGCAGTGATTATTAGTTTTGCCACATGTTTAGTTGTAACTTTTCAAAGTTCCAAGGAACAAAACTACCATATGGAAGTAATTTTACAACTCGGTTTGCAATCTGATACAGGAGATGAAGTTGCAATATATATAGTAAAGGAAGTTATTTGGCACTGCAACACAACTTCAACAACCACCAAAGCATCTGCAGAATGAAGAGGAATGTGAAGGAACCACATGTCTTCCAAGATAAGTCAACAACGTAATAGCTTGACAAGTATCAATCGGTGTGATGAACTGTGGAGAAAAAGAGATAACTTCAGTCACTACCTAAGGTTGGTAAAAACAACCATACAATTGGGACGTTATTAGGCACATCCACGACAGTAACAATTTCGATTTCAGACCATGACGATAACGAAATCGGACAACCAAAACAATAAATAATAGCAGATTGATGGGTCTAAAATTATGGGATTACGGGAAAAGAGTTCCCCCAGAGGGAAAAACTAGAAAGTGCAGAAGAAGTGTCCAACTGAGAGTACGATAGTACTTGAAATTACAACAGAGAACAATGTCAAATAGAAAGCAAGATAATATCAGGAAATAACAACATAGAACTATATGGACCTGTGAAAGTTCCGACTTTGAACCATACCCATAACAAAATAGGATAACCAATAAAAAGTATGATAATATCGGAAACGGGGAACTAGAAATGGCAGGAGAAATGTCCAATTAAAAGTACCACAACACCCGACATGAAAAGACAACAATGTCCAAATGGAAAGTACGATAATATCCGAAAATAACGACAGAAAATTATTGAGTCTTTGTACGTGCTACAGCGCCACAAAGAAAAATATCGAGTCTTTGAATGTGCTGTAGCGCCATGGGCTTTTGCTCAGTTCCTCATAGTAGAAGAATTATCCGCAGCATGGTTGTCACCCTGGATCGCCAAGTGCACGGGCCCACGAAAGCTGAAGTCACCGGTTGGTTGTTGCAGCTGTGGCGGCTGAAGTTGAAGAGGCAGCTGATGATACTGAACCTGAAATGGACGCTGCAGCTCCGATGGCTCAATCTGCAGCTGCTGAAGCTGCTGCGCAGCCATAACAGGGCGCGGCTCACTGTTGTTAGGAGGATAAAACAGCGGGCGTGGTGCAAAAGGAGCCAAATGCATCATGGCTGGTGCACCGTTGGGCATGGCCTGGCCAGTCAGCACCTTCAGATGTTCGATCTCGTCCTTCAGCGCATCGTTCAGTGCTGTTGAGAAAACAACGGGAACATACAATATCTAGTTAGGTATATAGTGGGAGGAAAAGTTCCACTAGAAATTGTAAACGTTATGTAAGAAATCCAACGAAGCCCTAAGCATCATAAAGGGCCGTTCAGAGTTGAGGTATGACACGGCGATGCTTACCGTCTTGCAATTGAACCTGTTGCTCCATAGTTTGCAACCGGTACTTCAGCTCATGGTTTTCGCTGCTCAGACCGGTTGTGTCTCTCTGTAATAAAAGGACATGATTGTCAATGTTATAATCCAAAATAGTTTGGGAAAGATCCATATCCTAAAGAGAATAAGGTCACTGAACAAATTAGAAGACCAAGCATTACAATGTTATTAATATGTTGCACCATCAATTATCTATAATTAAACGTATAGTAATTAACCAAGTTGACTAGAGTGTACCTGCAAGAGGGTCAACTGAGAAGACAGTGATGTGGCTTGAGTCTGCAGGGTCTGCACCTTCCTTTCGAGCTCCGCAATGTAACGCAACTTCCGCTCCTTCGACCTCGCAGCCGACTGCCTGTTCGACAGGATCCTAAGACCACCAAAGCCATTACTATAATATCTGAAGATATGATACAATAACCTAAAGAAAACCATTTTTATTCCATTATATAGAAGTGAAACCACATGAAAATATTCGTTGGAACATGAACGAAGAGTATCTAATACAGCTACAGGGTTCAAGAGAGATAACTACACCTCTTGGCACGCCTCGGGTCGACCAAGGCCAGCTCGGCGAGCTTAGCAGACGAAAGAGCCTTCTTTCTCTCCACTCCTGAGGGCCCCTCGGAGCTTGAAGCGAGCATTTCCGGGTTGATAGTCATCAACCCATCCACCGACTGACTGTAGTGGTGCCTCACCCTGGGTCTCTCGCCTGCTGAACTGTCAGCAGAACCTGACCCAAGCCCCAATGCCGATCCGGTAGCTGCAGCTAACGGTGCAGCAACAGCAGAAGGAGGAGGAAGAGGAGGAGGGAGAACAGCAGCAGCCGCAGAGGATGGTTCTCCCACCTGAAACATAGGTGGCATAGCAGACGATGTATTAAGTCTATTCATATCCAAGTATATGCCATACAAGTCGGGCTCCTCGTTCTCATCACAAAAGAAAGGCTGGAAACCGCCCCCCAGAGCACTGAGATCACCATCGAAGTTGATGCCATTGTGAGCACGGGTCAGAATCTCGGAATGGGCGCGTCGATGGCCGAGATTCCTAAACGGGTCATCTAGCATTTGGCTCATCTCAGGGCCGAACTGGTTACTATCAGTTTGCCCTCCACCCTGCCCAATAATACAGGGCTCAGGGACGAAATTCGGAGCGGGGATCATTTGGGGAAACGTCGAACTCGATTGTTGTTCCGAATTATCATCGAAGGGATCATTAGTTTGAGAAAAACCGGTGGACCAACCAGATGGAGATGGTATTCCACCACCATGAACATGGGACATCTCATTATCCATGAACACTAGACTCGCTAGTAACCCGACCAACTCAAACTTCTATTACCCGCGAGAATATGAAGAAAGTCTACACCATTACAAAAAGCATAAACCAAAGTTTTACCTATGGAAAAGATTATGAGTTGGTAGGGCATTCATAAGGTGCTAATCATCCCACCGTATATATAGGAAACTTGACAAGGCATAATGTATTGCATGTGTGACCAAAGTGAGTAAGTAATTAATACGGCAGTGCTAGACTGTGTTGGACGAGTTTAATTGGGATAATATCGAAAGACATAGTAGGCAAGAGTTGTGCATTTGGTAAGTGAGTAAGATCAATAAGCATGCGAGACAGCTGAAACTGACCTGTAAATATGGCAACTCGAAACGAGGTTCTCTTTCGTTCTGAAATTGGAAATTTAATTAATGCCAAGGATAAAGCGTTTTAATTGGCAAGTAAGTTAATGCCACTTCCCCATTTTTAGCGTCTTTGGAACCATAAAAAATAAAAAATAAAAAAAGCAATATCTAAGTTGTATCACCCTTTTCGCAATTGACAAAATGGGTAAGAAATTTAAGTCGAAGGATGTAAGTTTAAACATGTTTAGATGGCATCCTCATAACGGAAAAGAATTCGTAAAAATTGATAATATAAAGAAAAATCATGACAAGGGTCATGCTAATGAGGTTGTCTATGCAGATTAATAATGGTAGAAATTTAAAATCTTTTTAGCGTGTGTGTATATAAATATGTATGTGATAAGTTAACAAAAAAAGTGAATATTTGATAAAAATATGAGGTTAATCATACATTACACCAAACACGTATATATTTCCAAAAACGCTGTCTCGGTGTCTATACTAACAATTAGGAGAATGTAATCAAATCTAAGAACACAAATTTTTCCTTTTTTGGCCAGAAAGAATACATAAATTGTTTAGTTTGCAAGTGCAATATGATCATTCAATAATATCAAGAAAAATAAAAAACCAAACCAATTATGGAAAAATGTTGCAAAAATATCAAAACAAAAAAAAAATATAAGTAGGATCAATTTTTTTTAAATAAAAATAAAATAAAATCTATGCTGTAAAATCAAATAGAAAACCACGATGACTTCTCTAATTAGAGTGTGTATGTTGTCTAATGTAAATCCATATAGGATTTTCTCACTAAATGCACTGAACATATATAGAAAAAGATCCATAGCAAGCATCGCAAAAAGAGAGAGAATTAAGACAAGTAAATAAATAGGATGGGCTAATCATTGCTTAATTACCTTAACGAGGTCAACATTATAGTGATAATCATAAGCACCAACAAGACCATTGATGTGTCCATAAGCTTTCCGGATCTTCAATGCGACCTGCAATTTCCACTGTTGATGTTCCATCCTGCAAATTAACCAAAGTCAAATCTCCAATTTCTACCACAGGTAGCAATTGAGGGGTTGAATATGGGTTGAAATGGTTGCGTCAATTGTGTGCTCGATCGAATTTATATCCAAAAGGATAAAATTAAAATTAAATTTCAACATGAGATGACTTGTAAATGTGCCGAATTTGGATTTGTCCATACGGCACCTATTACCCGTCATTTTAATCATTTTATAAGAATACAAAAATGAAAACATATTTATATATAAATTTTTGTGCGTGGATCTAATTTACCATCATGCTAACAAATGAAAGGCCAAAGAGAACTAGCAACCAAAAAAAAAAAAACAAAGAAAAAATTCTTCGAATGATTATGTTGCTCTCGATCTTCTCAAAATCATGCAAATTATCAATCAACATCGTAATTGTTAAGGTGAAAGTGCCTATCATAATAAAAAAAAAAAAAAGGATGGAAGTATACAATAGAGGACAAAATCTAGTGAATGTGTAAAAGGAAAAAGATACTTCAATTGAAAGGGCGAAGAATGAGAATGATACGAACTTACGATTGGGTTTATCGTAAGAGACGTGAACTCAGAAGTCTCAAAGACCAAAACCAGAGAACCCTTGAATGCGTGAGTTTGTATTGAGACATGGCCATATTTATAGGTACAGATGTATATTCGTGTCACGTGCAAAGTGCGTGCCGTGTCAGGCATTTATTATGTACAGGAAAGACCTTCTCTATAAAGCACAAAATTGCAACATTTGGTAGATTAACTTTTCCATGGTCAATTCCGCGCGTCGGCCGTGCATTGGTACAGTTGAGATTCTTGGCTATCTTGTTATGTCAAAGTTCATACTTAGAAATAAGTTTTTTTGGAATCTGCGTCAGACTTTCATAAGCCATTTTTTGGACCATACCGGATTTTGCCTTAGATATTCCTAGCCCGAAGTTAGTAGGGTATTCAATGGCCGATAGGTATACCTAAAATGGTTTTCGCGTAATGAGAAATTTTAAAAATACGTATAAATTATAAATGGACCAATTTTTGTTGAAGTAGTATTTTGTGCTTATAATTCATATTATTTAATTAAGGAAATTTTTTTGTTAGAAAGTAAAGAGTATCCATCGAATTTCACTAAATTAGATGTGATGTACAAGAAATTTACCCATCTAATTAACTAGTGATTAGAGAAAAAGATACCGTTGGGGCTTTCTATTTATTTCTTGAATGCTTGATTTTTTATTTTACCACTTCATACTTGGTTTAAATCGAGGTTCTTGTTCGTTCATCGAATCATCTAAACTGAAAGTACTTTGTGCTAAAGTAAATTAATGCAGATACTTATTCAAAATATATTTGATTGGTATTGTTACCTCAACTCCCTTTTCTCTAATAGTTGAAAATTTTTTTGCATGAAATTAATACTTAATGGTAACCATAGCTAAAGCATAAGGTATGTGCCAATGTACTAAAATTGTCTAAACTTCAAAGTTTAATGTGAGAAAAAGAGAGAGGATATTCTCAGTTAAGATATATCGACAACTTTGATGATGCAATTCAAGGTGCAAGAGGACATACAATTAGGCTACAATCTGATTTGCTCATGGAAGGCATGATTTTCTATGGGACTAAATCTCTCATTAATACATTATTATCGATTACAAGTTGAAAACAAATTCGCATTTCATATAATTAGGTTTGCTATGAAGAGCACGAGGAGATGAAACAAATTGAGACGGTACCTCTATATGATATGAAATCGGTTTGTTTAGGATTTCATCATATATAATGATTGGTGTTAACCGTTGCTAAAAATGTGTTTGTTAAGTCAAAACTATATTCCATTGTTTTTAAGAATCGTGTCGGTTTTATTTTTATTTTAACTTTCACGATAGAGTCCGATGATTCTGAATTCTGTCTAATATTTCCAAACTTGAATATACTCGGAGGGAACATAATTATTACAAGGGTTAATACCACGAAAAACCCAAAACTAATACACTTGTGACAAATTTACTTCAAACTAATTTTTTGACCACAAAAAACCCCAAACTGATACACCTTTGACAAAAATATCTCAAACTAATTTTTTGACCACCAAAACCCAAAACTGGTACATCTGTGACAAATATATCATCTATTAAATTGAATTAATATCACAAAAAACTACAAACTGGTAAATCTGTGACAAACACTGACAGAAGAGTAAAACCCTAAACTGGCATATCCGTTAATTGTCATGTGCCATCCAACTTAGCAAATTGGCGGTAAAATTTAACAGAAACCAACGAAGGGTAAATTTGTCACAAGTGTAACAGTTTGGGATTTTGTGTGATCAAAAAATTATTTTAGAGTAAATTTGTCATAAGTGTACCAGTTTGGGGTTTTTTGTGGTATTAACCGTTATTATAAATGAATACTATGAAAGGAATCATCAACTCTCCATATTATTGTTTCAATAAAAATGATGAAATATCTTTTAAGAATTTGAATGGAGATATGAATTAACAAAGGTTGTGAAAGGTATTTTGTTAATTTTGGATAGGAAAGTAAATGACAAGAAATTGAAAAGTACAACAATGGGAACAATCATTGCCAATGATGTAAAATGCAAGAAAGTAAAAAAAAAATCTAAAAGAATGTTGAGTTATGTGATTGACTGGAGGTCGTTTTCCATGAATACAATTGAGGTATTTTATAACCCTCTTCTTATGGTTACATATAGTAGTCACACACAACAGTTACTAAATTTGAAAGAACAAATAACTTTTTAATCATATTCACAATTACAAGAAGTTACTCCGCAGTATTCTATTATTAAGCAACACTTATTTTCAAGAATTTACATATCTAAAAGTAACGTTGTTTAGGCAATTACATGATGGTGTCAATGACTTCATCCCCAATGAAAGTTCACGTCGATAACTGGCGTTTGTTCCCTGACAACTTTATTGGAGAGTTGTCAATTCTCTTCAAATTGTTGATTATTCTAACTAAACCGTCTTTATCAACATTTTGTTACTTGTTGATAATAACCAAAAGTTGATTATTTTTTGGTATCAACATATGCCTCATTTAAAAGAATTGAATAATTCATCAATGATTTCATTCTTTTAAATTAGATAACCAAGAGTCATCGTATGCCCTCGAGTCATTGGCAAATTTGATTTTTTCCCTAACGAATTGCCTCCTGAATTGTTTTCCTAAAAACAATACAATTGGCCATGTTATAGTTCTGTAAATGGCGCCATTTGCAATACCTTTTGTTTACTAATCTTCTTGTTAAGCACAAATTTTCGCCACAACTATTTCAATATTTTCCTCTTGGTTAGATTAATTATCCAACTCATATATTTCCATTAAAGCCACTTTATGTACAAAGTATTCATGTGGCCCATCATCTCTGTCTTTTAGCAATAGCTCGTACTTCAACACTCTCGTTACCAATTGAAATAAATCAGAAAAGTCTTGGCCTTCCAATCTTTCTCACAGGTTAAATTTTAACCCATTAAAAGACAAATTCTTGAATTTTTTTTTTATCTAAAAGCAAAGTGAGGCATCTATTTTAGCTTCTTAAATAGAATAATAAATTGATCGACTAACTTGCAATTATATTGATAAAATCCAATCAAA